TCACATATTCTTTCAGTTTCTGCCGGTCGTGGAAGCTCTGCATCTCTCCATCCATTCTAAATGAAAGCCTTGCTGGATAAAGTATTTTTGGATGCATGTTCTTCTCATTTAGTACCCTGAATATGTCTTGCCAGCCCTTTCTGGCTTGCCAGGTCTCTGTGGATAGGTCTGACGTTATTCTGATGTTCCTCCCTCTGTATGTAAGGAATCTCTTCCCCCAACTGCCCTTAAGATGGTTTCCTTGGTTCTAAGATTTGCGAGTTTTACTATTACATGCCGGGGTGTTGGCCTGTTTTCCTTGATCTTGGGGGGGGTCCTCTCTGCCTCTGGGACACAAATGTTTGTTTCATTCCCCAGATTGGGGGAATCTCAGCTATGATGTGCTCCAACATATCTTCTAGTTCCCTCTCTCTCTCCACCCACTCAGGGATTCCAATAATTCTGACATTGGAACGTTTCATGGTGTCACTTATTTCTCTGATTCTATTTTCATGGATTCTGAGTTGTTTTTCCCTGGCCTCCTCTTTTCCCTTTTTATCTATTAAGTCGTCTGCCAGGTCACTAATTTGTTCTTCTGCCTCGCTTACCCTAGCTGTTACATTATCTAGATTAGACTGGATCTCACTGATAGCATTTTTAAGTTCTGCCAATTCAGCTTTCATTTCTGCCCTTAGAGACTCTGTGTTGCCATTAATCGATTTCTCCATTCTAGCTACTGTCTTCACAATTGCTAGCCTGAATTCCATCTCCGACATCTTTGTTATATCTGAATCCATTTGTAAATTTGTGGCATAAGTCATAATCTCTGAGTCTTTTCTGTTTTGGGGGTTCCTCCTCCCAGTCATTCTGTTGAGGGGTGGTTGAGGAAGCATAAGTCCAAATTACTGACCACCACCCAAGCAAGATGCACCTGTTTTCTAGGGACCTTAGGGTTGCTGGCCTCTTGTTTTCCCAGCCTATCTTCTGGGGGAGGGGCCTGCCGTGTTGTTACTCAGGAAACCCTGTTTGGGCAGAGTTGCCCTGCCCCCTGTGGTGGCGGATGGGCTCAGTGGAAACCAGTTTTTGGGGGCTTTTGTTCTCTGGGAGCTTTCCCTGGTGGCTTTCCGCATCTCTTCCGAGAGTCAGAGCAGAAGAGACCGTTTCCAACCCTCTGCCTCAGAGCAGAGAGATCGCAGTCTGTTCTTCAGTGAGCTCTCCAGGCCACACTGTCTCTGTTTTTGTCTGTGCTGCTATAAACTGCAGCGTCCTGGGCTGTGCGCCCCTCAGCAGCGCTCCCAGTCCTGCCTCCAGGTTGGGGCACGTGTCTGCCCTTTGTGCTTCTAAAACCGCCAGCTTCCCCCAGTTCGCATGTGCGGCCCCGCCGCTCCGGGTTTCCATCTGGGGGGCTGCCCTAAAGTCCTTTCCCTGCCGCTACCAGTCTGCGAACCTGTGCCCGGTCCCCAGCATGGCAGGCTATCACTCACCGGCAGTGTAGGATCTCCATGGCCAGGCTCCCTCCCGCTGCCATTTATCGTCCAATATCTGCCTGCGGAATCACGGCTCCCTGCTTTGTACCTTGAAACCAACCGCCTGCAATATTCTGTTTGTAGAGATCCAGATCTTCTTACACCTCAGGCTAATTTCGTGGGTGTTCAGAGCGCTCTGGTAGATATCCAGTTCAATTCTGGGGACTGGTTGGAATGGGGTCCCCTACTCCTCCGCCATCTTTTCCCAGGACTCTGAAATCAATCATTTCTAATGGTGAGAGGTGACTTCTCATCTAACACCACATTTAGCCACAAATGTGGTATAACCTTTAGCATGACAACCATTTCCAGGGCACCTTCTGGAATTCTACCAAAGCATCTCAAGAAACAAGGTCATTTAGCATTTAAAGAATAAGCAGAAGAATGTCATCTTGGGTGGCCATTATCAGCTTTTCACCCCAATATCTCAAGATGTCAGAGCCACAAAATAACCCTTTTTGAAAAGGGCTGGCTGGTTTTAGTGATAAGGGCCTGGTGAGCTGTGTGGTTAGTACCCCCAAGCAGACCTCCATCCAATAAAAGATAAGAAGAGACTGTCTATACTGGAATTCAAACTATATCTAGAAGAGGACCCAGGGACATTTCCACATAACACCAAGTGTGTGGGGTTGACATCTGCACAGCCCTTATTGTTTCTATGTGGATGCTCAAGTGTGTATTTTTTAGAGTTGGTACAAGCCACGTTTTTAATAAGGAAACGGAGATGAGAAATGATACAGATGCCCCAGAGTCACATAGCTTTTTGGTGGAACCACTAGGACCAGCAACCAGGAATTCTGGCTCTCAGTTTAACTGCAATCTCAAACAGGAGTTCCATGTTCCTCTGACCTTCCTTGCTTGTTTTTGAATCCTTAATAATTCAAGAGCACAATGGGGGTACTCTACCAATGAAGCAATCTGAGGAAAAGTAGACTTTTACCTGCATCTTTACTTCAGCAGATGTTTGGTTTAAAATTAACCACCAGCTGCTCCAAAACTGAAAGTATCTAGTTCTTCCAGGGTTTAGCTAGCCGCTCTTGGCTGTGCTATTATGGAACAGGGTCAGGTCAAAGCATGTGGCTTTGCATTTCAAATCTTTCATGTCCAGACCATAAGGATGCCCATTAAAATAACTGCACACTCATAACCTCCCAAAGTGTTTTGTTTTGTTTTCCTTATGACCAGGAATACCCTTGGGTTACTGCTGAATGGGATACTTTCAGTTAAGTCATAAGGACAGGCTCTGTACACTAGAGAAGGCTTTAGAACAAAGCACAAAGGACCAGCTTGTCCTCAGCCCAAGCTGAAACAGGGATGTCTGGCATTTTCCCCTGGACCCTAGACCCTGTCCTCTTATGCTGGCAGTCCTATTCTCTCATCTCTCAGGCCTCCTGAGGAGTGGCTTCTGCTAAGTAGCTGCCATGCATCCAGCAAGAAATGCTCATTTTTCAGTTCATGGGGTGTTAGTGGTTAAGGAGAGGAAAACATCAAGCCAAGACTCAGCATCTCGAGATAGTACTGTACAATGGTTTGAGGCACAGACCTGAATTCCTGGCCTACCCAGGAACTCTCCCTCAGCAGAAAGGGCAGTGACAGTCCAAGGAACAGTAAAGGAGTTAGCCCAGTATCTGGCATAGGAGGCACTATGTAAGTCTTTGCTATGATTTTAGCCAGATGTTTGCTATTTCTGCTGCCCACTAATGAAGGCCCATGACTAGGTCTGAAGTGGTGTTGCTCCTATTGTGTACTGAGGCCCCGGCCAGGGCATCCTTTGCATAATTTAAAGAGACTTCTCCAGCCCACCTACTGACTCTTGTTTTGCAGATTAATTCTGCTTTGGTTGAGGATTTGTCCAGTGACATGTTCCTTGTTATACCAGCTGCCAGTGGCCCAGTTACCAAAGGTTTGCAGAGTCAGTTTATAGAAGTCAGGCCTGGCTTTGGACCAACTCCGAAGCTTGCACTCTAATGGAAGGTAATCCTCCCTTTTCTGCTGGGTGTGAGGAGTGAGGGGATGGCTGTTCGGGTTGTACCCTTTCTCCATTTGCCCAATATAAGGCATTCTCTCAGGGCATTGCCAGATAAACTGAGATGAACATAACTGAATGGGTGCTTCCACTCCCTGACAAAAGTTTCCTTCTGAGTAAGGAATTTCAGTGGCAAGGGAACAAAGAGCAAGAAGTATTTTAAGGCAATGATCAGGCCTTTCTGAGAAGTATTAATCTCACCAGATGTTTCAATTTCTCTATACCTCTTTAAATGAAAAAAAGCAGAATAGTAAATATTTTTTTTTGGAAGTACTTTGGTAAACATAATCTTTTTTTTTTTTTTTAACGAAATTCAATATTCAACTACCAGGTCTTTTAAGTGTTTTTCCAAATCCTATTTCCCCACAATAACATTTCTATTTTAGGAAAGCCTGAAGGGAAAGAAAAACAACAAGACAGTTTAGAATATAATGTTTCCAAATCAACTGCTCTGTGGTTCTATTAGGACCTTCAAAGCCAGAGCCCAGGGAGGAACAGGCTGTCAGGTGCCTGGGGAGATGCTTCAACTGTATTAACCCACAGTTACAGAGGAGGGTTAGAAGGCACAAGCAAAACACCCATGCCAGCAAATGTCTTTCATCTTTCCAATAAAGCAGCATCAGAAATCTTCAAAAGAAGACTCAAAGAAAAAAAGTACTGATGTCTGGTTCTGGCAATGCAGCAAACTGACCAAAAGCAGAACCAACTCCCCCACTATAAAGACACACAGAAATGCTACATGAAACATACCAAGTCCATCATCACTGATGCCTAACTATACGGTGAGGCCCCCTCCCCAAAACATTATGCAGAAAGGAGGACGTTAGCTTACATTTAAGTCCTTTTAGAATCTTTCTTTTATTTGAGGAAGACACCTTACCTGAGATGACCCCACCCAGCAATACTAGCTCGGGATGCTTATCCAGGACACCAGACAAACCATTTTGTTTTTAAAGAAGAGATTTAGTGTAGATTTAATAATTATTCCCAGAGGAATAATGTGGCTGAAAGCAAATGGTTAAGTTTGGAGATAACTGTCATATCTAGATCACAGAGGGGGAAAAAAAAACACAAAAAACCCCCATGATGTTCCTATGTTATGTAATGAGGAAAAAAAAGAAAAGAAGTAAACCTTCAGAAATAAATGACATATAGTCATTCACAGTAAAAACTCAATAGATGGATGGAACAGCAGAGTACACACAAGTGAAAGTGTGAGTGAATCAGATGAATGCAGAGGAGAGAGATAAAGGGGCACATATATGAAAGAGAGGCTATGTGGAGTCAGGGACTGTCTAACACGGGTCTAATAGTAGAGGGGGGAGGAGAGGCCAGAGTTGAGCAGAGGATGGCCGAGTACTTTCCTGAACTAATGAAGTCTGTTAGACCAAAGGCTCCAAAGTCCTGAATGAGATCAATAAAAATAGATGGCTACCCAGCCACACAACTGTTTTATTTTCAAACGCAACTTAAAAATTATCCAGAACAAAAATGATTGCCTACGAATGAACAAAAACAGGACTGCAGTGACTTCTCTGGAATGAATCTTCAAAGTGCTGAAGAAAAATAATCCAGAATTCTTTGCCCCACTTAAATACTATTCAAGCTTAAAGACCAACAAAATGATGCTCAAGAGTTGAGCCTTCACAGCGAACTACTCCAAGAGAAGGAAACGGAGCCTCAAAGGGAAAAATGGATTTCACAGATCAAGAGTGAGCACAGCAAAGAGCAAGGCCTGAATAAAGATGATGACAGTGTAGGATGTTAGCAAACGCTGGGATGACGGAACATGATGGAGACATACAGGAAAGGGGGATCAGCACGCAAACTTCCAAGGTCCTGTGTGACTCAGGAGGGTGGAAATAAGAATTCACTGTAGACTTTATGAAGTTGAGGAGGCATATTAAAAACTTACGGTCAACACTATAATACAGAATTAGAATGAATGACTATTCAATCAGTAAAATGAAAAAAAAAAAATTCAATAGAAAAGAGGAGTGAAAAAAGAAAACACACCTACACACCAAAAAAAGGTGATAGAAATTATTCCAAAATAATCACTATGCTAAATGAAAATGGGTTACATTTCCCCACTAAAAGACAAGAGACTATGAGATTCAGTCGTTAGAGTCCTAGATGTATATCTAGTTTAAAAAAAAGGAATCACATTTGCACAAGGAGACCAAGAGTACTCCATACAACACTATGAACGGGAAACCTGTACGTCCATGCAAAGAAAGCTGCATAAAATGGTATAATAAATTCTAACACTGAAGTAATACAGAAATTAAATTAACTAAATCTCTATGATTCAACATGGATTCATCTCAAAATATAATACTGACTAAAAGAAAGCTATCGAAAGAGTATAAACAGTAAACCATTAACATAAATTTAAAAAATTTCTCAGAATATACTATATATTGTCATGTATACATACACATGTATTGAAAGTATAAAAACATATCCAGAGAAGAAACACATGAACTTCAGAAGAAAGTTGTATCTGGGAAGGGGCTGTACTTCAGATGCATTTTTATATTTTTTTAAATTAAATTCAATTAGCCAACATATAGTTCATCATTAATTTCTGATTTAGTGTTCAATAATTTACCAGTTGCATATAACACCCAGTACTCATCACATGCATTTTTATAATATTTCCTTTTTTTAAGATTTTATTTATTTATGAGAGAGAGAGAGAAAGCGTAGGGAGAGGGGCAGAGGGAGAAGCAGACTCCCCACTGAGCAGGGGGCCTGATGTGGGGGTTTAACAGATTGAACCACCTAGGCACCCCTAGTATTTTCTTGACCAATAATAAAAGGTCAATATTTGTGAGGTATATAGATATTATTTATGTGATTTTACTTTCCATATTTTGAAGTAGTTCTGAAATTACAATTTAAAATAAGAAATGCAAAGGGGAAGAAAGAGGGAGTTTTGGATCTATGCCAATCCAGATCCATCTATCCAGTCAGATAGCAATCATGGTTTTAAAATTGCATTTTAAATGTTCTGAATGAGACTGTTCTCTCACTCTATTCACAAAAGACAGTTCTAACTGCAACGTAATAAACATAAACAAGTACTCAAAAAAAAATCTTATTTGTAATCTGTGATTTTGTTTAAAGTAAAACCGTGGGCCAGGCATTTGCTTTCTCTTTTTCTTTTGGCATTTGCTTTTTTCTACCCTAGTGCTCACGATACATGTGATGGAGCCATATTAACAGAGGGAAGAAACACTAAAATCACAGCCATCTTCTATGTCAGTGATGTGTGCGCGAGGGACAGGATGCTGAGGCCACACCCAGCGGAACACCTGAGTGGAAAGCAATGTGTCATGTTCCTTGGGAATAGTGGGAAGGCAAAAGAGGCTTAAGAATCACTTCTCCGTAGGGGTGCCTGGGTGGCTCAGTCATTAAGCGTCTGCCTTCGGCTTGGGTCATGATCTCAGGGTCCTGGGATCAAACCCCGCATCGGGCTCCCTGCTCTGCAGGAAGCCTGCTTCTCCCTCTCCCACTCCCCCTGCTTGTGTTCCTGCTCTCACTGTATCTCTGTCAATAAATAAAACTTTTTTAAATTTTATTTTATTATGTTATGTCAGTCACCATACATCATTAGTTTTTGACGTAGTGATCCACGCTTCATTGTTTTTAAGAAATCATCACTGCTCCGTAGAGCTTGGGTCCTGACTCCGTGTGCTTCTGGCTTCACAGGAGAATTGATTCTTGCGTAGAGTCCTTAAGAAGGAGATGGAGACTGTCAAACGGAGGTGGCCTTAGGTCTAAAAGAAGAGGGAGTTTCTTGGGGGTAGAGACCAGAGGAACGAAATACACTGGTGTTGGGGGGTTTGAGTAGAACTATGCATAACATGCAGGCTGACAGCTCAAAGTGCCTCCTCCTGAGGAAAGGGGCCAGCAGTTCTTAAAGTTCAAAGCCTCGTGTCCTGTACAATACTGACCCTGTTTCCCCTGCAGGTACCACTGAGATCAGTGCACAACACCCAGGCCGATCAACAGGGATGCTCCCTTTTGGACTGTAACAAACCAAGCAATTCGATCCTCTCAGCTGAGGGGACACAAGAAGCCAGAAGCAGGAGGAGAGCAGACACACCAAAACGGTTACACGTCGGGAGACAGCAGGTGCCTGCGTGGGACTCCCACGTCTGACATGTTAACAAAGGAGTTAGAAGTGTCTCAGACAGCTTGCTGGGGGGCGGGGGGCAGTGGGAACGAGTCCAGCTTGGACATCTACCGCATCACGAGGAAAAGCCACATCGGGCATTGTGTGGTTGGGGATTCTCAAGCTGGAGCTCAGGGACTTAAGGTAGCTTGGGGAAACGGGGGCTTCAATGAAGACGACATATGCCCTCCATCTCAGAGGGTAGAAAGGCACCCAAGAATTTTACATTTGCTACGAAGGGCACAGATTTACAATGCTGAGTAACTAACACAAACTAAGCTTTTTTAAAAAAATTTTTTAAATCTTTTTTATTTTTATTTTTAAAGAATTTATTTATTTGACAGAGAGAAACACAGCAAAAGAGGGAACACGAACAGGGGGAGTGGGAGAGGGAGAAGCAGACTCCCTGCCAAGCAGGGAGCCTGATGCGGGATCAGTCTCAGGACCCTGGGATCATGACCTGAGCCGAAGGCAGACACTTAATGACTGAGCCATCCAGACGCCCCAAAGCTGTTTCTCTTCTACTAACTGAAATTTTATTTGAGCCTTCACCACTGATTGTGATTTTATTTTTTTTAAAGATTGCATTTATTTATTTGACAGAGAGAGCGAGAGCACAAGCAGGGGGAGCGGCAGGCAAAAGGAGAAGCAGACACCCTTTTGAGCAAGAAGCCTAATGCCGGCCTTGATCCCAGGACCCTGGGATCATGACCTGAGTGGAACGCAGACGCTTAACCGACTGAGCCACCCAGGCGTCCCCCTGACTGTGATTTTAGATAGCACCTCATTTACTAAGTAAAAGCCAAAAGGCTTGCCATAAAGTCCTGTACTTTTTTTTTTTTTTTTTAAAGATTTCATTTTTATTTATTTGACAGAGAGAGACACAGCGAAGAGGGAACACAAGTTGGGGGAGCGGGAGAGGGAGAAGCCGGCTTCCCGCGGAGCAGGGAGCCTAATGCGGGGTTCGATCCCAGGACCCTGGGATCATGACCTGAGCCGAAGGCAGACGCCTAACGACTGAGCCACCCAGGTGTCCCAAAGTCCTGTACTTTCAATCTAAAACACACCACTGTTCAAAAACACTTCTAATCAGGGATCTACAATCATTTTCCCGAAAATAAACACTAAGTTTTGTTTGAGATAACTACAAGTAATGCCAAGTCTCTCCTTGGGGAATTAAAGCCACAATAAAAGGTTACAATTCTAAATGGGAGTGCTTGCAAATGTTTATACATGGCTTAATTCTCCACCCAGAGATTTAACAAGAGTTTAGTGCTGCGAGACATTTGTACTGTAAGCCTGAAAGGTGGTCCCTCCCCTAAAAACGTATACAAACTGTGCTTACCCTTGGAGGGCAGCTTTCCTCCCCTGTTTAGCTTTAAAGCCTATATTACGTAACAGCAAAAAATAGGGAGGATGTAAGTTTTGATTTCCATTTCAGCTACAAATGTAATAACTATGAACAAGTCTAAACTTTTTCTAGATTTTAAACTCTGTTTCACAGTTTTCAAATCGTCATTTATTTATTTTCCTTCTTCTGGTAATTTTAAAGTTATAGTGACTCTCCCCCTTTCACTTCCTTGTTATCTCCCTTCTTTCAAGACTTCTCTTTGTCTCCTTTAAGTGACAGTTAATTTTATTTGTATTAGCCTAGAACTTGCCAAGGCAGCTGTGAATTCACACAGGATAAAATAAACACAACTATCCATGACTACTTATTTATTTTTTAAATTCCTTACAGACCCAAATATGTAGATAAGCAGAAGGGTAAATAAAGACTAATAATCAAGACTCTGCCAACTGTGTGACCAAAGGCAAACAGCTCCAGGTCTTGGGACATTTGGCTGAAATGAGAGGCCCAACTGGGATCCATGACCTCCTCAGTTTGTTCTGTCACAAAACTCCATGATTGCCGTCCTAGGTTTTACTCATCAATGGAATATAAATGCCAATTAAAAGAAAATAACAGCTAAGATGAAATGAAAAGCTTGACAAAGGATAGGTTATAATGGTATTACTGATGGGTTTATGTAAATACAGGAAAAAAAGTCACAAAAATCTAATGTAAATACCACGTAACAAGTAGTAAAATGTAGGGCTTATTTTCAACTCTGGAATACCTGATGTGGGCATATTTTTAGAAAGTGGATTTAATTTAAGGAATTACTGCTGTATGTACTCTAAATCATCAGTTAAAAATGTTTTCCTCCACTGTATATTTCTTGAGTCTCTTCATCCAGTGCTCAGACGGCTCAACCTCACCTCTAGTTCTCACTAAGCTGTCAGAGGAAAATCTGTATTTCCTCCTACAGTGCTTCTGGAACCCTCCCAATTCAGTCCTATGACACAGCAGCAATTTATACAGCACTGTTCTTCCCCTCTTTACCCAAGAATGACCTGTTTGAGAGAGGTTAAATTCTGACGTTCTAGCTCTATCTCCAGGGCTTGAGAAACCTGTTAGGCAGATCCTTAAGTTCTAGAAGACTTAATAATTTAAATATTTTTTCTCTAGAATAGTGCTATGCATAACAATAAACTCTATAAAAGCTTTCTTTCCTTTTTTTTTTTTAAGATTTTATTTATTTCTTTGACAGAGAGATTGAGAGAGAGCACAAGTAGGCAGAGCGGCAGGCGGAGGGAGAGGGAGAAGCAGGCTCTCTGCGGAGCAGGGAGCCCGATGTAGGGCTCGATCCCAGGACCCTGGGATCATGACCTGAGCCGAAGGCAGATGCTTAACGACTGAGCCACCCAGGCACCCCTATAAAAGTTTTCTTAAGGAAAGGGCTGTATCATCTATCAATTATGGGAAAATAAACCGTTCACTCTGAAAAACCTGACACCTTGCTGCAGTTTGTCCCTTGAACACAGAGATGTGCACAGTGCTGGGCCCAGGAGTCACTCCTGTGCTCTGCCCCTGCCTCCAGTCCTGCAATATCCATCTGGGAGGCTAATTAAACTGCCTTCATTCTAGAATAGGACAGAAAAAAGCGAAAAAAGGGGTTGTAAGCATTTCACAGAGTATCAAGCATAAAAGTCTACTACTCTAATCATAAACTCTTTAGCTGGCTTATGCAACATACACGCAGAACAAGCCACAGACCTCCCACAGGTGCAATCAATACCTCCCACGATCGAACAGTGTTTTGCACCGGTGTGACCACCCAGACACCCTCTCGCACACAACCACACGCAGACAGGGAGACAGGATGGAGAGGCCTGAGGCTGACGGAGAATTCATTCTTCCCTCTAAACACCAATTTTAAGATTCATTTTGATTTCTCCCCTCCTCCCCTTATCTTCTTTACTACTCCTTGGGGAATTAAAGCCACAATAAAAGGTTACAATTCTAAATGGGAGTGCTTGCAAATGTTTATACATGGCTTAATTCTCCACCCAGAGATTTAACAAGAGTTTAGTGCTGCGAGACATTTGTACTGTAAGCCTGAAAGGTGGTCCCTCCCCTAAAAACGTATACAAACTGTGCTTACCCTTGGAGGGCAGCTTTCCAGCCGTTTAGCTTTAAAGCCTATATTACGTAACAGCAAAAAATAGGGAGGATGTAAGTTTTGATTTCCATTTCTTTCATTTTTATTTCAGCTACAACGTTTGCCTTTGAGATCATCAAATATGGTTTCCAACCTCCCAGTTATACAGATAAAATAATTTGGCCCAAACTTACAGACCATTCAGATCTTAAACACAGATCTCACCATCCACTCGTCTTAGCTTTTAAAAATGCACTTGTCAAATCTCAAAGCTATTTACAGTTATCAGATCAGGTGAGAGGCTTGCCAAAAAACACACCCAAACACAACTGCTACCCACTTCCTTCCTCCCCCACCTCCAAACCAGAATCCTGCATTTATTAAATGCTTAATAATAAAATGTTCACAGATCTGTTTTTCACACTTTGTTCATTTTCCACCCTGTGTTCTGCTTGCATAAAAGTATTTCTAGAAAATGATATGAAACATCACAAATCAATAGCAAAGGCTTCTATTTTAGATATTCTAGAAGGCATATTTATACAAACAACTCTGGCATTTTGGCAAATCAATTTTAAAACATACTCAAAATGGATTAATGTATTTGTTCTCCCAGTCCCCCCATCCCACCCCGCAATGCAGCTGCCCTTATTTAGGAACACCATTGAGGACGGTGATCAGAGCACATTTAAGGGACAGACCTACCTCACAGAACATATAGAGAGACAGCAATGTGAGGCCAAGGTTATACACCACTAAAATTCCCCGGCAAGAGAACGGCTGCCTATTCTTCATGTATTTTGGTCCCAGCCATACAATTAGTAAGTATATGACAGAGCAGATAAAAGTAGGTATATAATTGTCCAGAAGAAACCATCCTTTTACTCTGGTATCTGGAAAATAATAAAAGAAAAATATTTAGTGATTAATAACACTGATAAAAAAACAACCACAACTTTTTTTTTTTCAAACACTAAAAATCTTCCCTCCCCATAATTTTTTAACAGTCATCTAATACTCAAGTTCCTAATCCCAACAAGGCCAACTGGAAGAGGAAGCAGGAATTTTCAATACTTGTCATCCAAGGTGAAGCTCCTTATAACATGTTCTGAATAACATGTATATCATATGTGGTTTTTGCTAAGTAAAAAAAATATATATATATATATTTTTTCCAAAGAATCTTAAATAAGCAAGGAGAAAGCTAAATTTTCCACTAACTGTATTTACTGACCAGATGTGCTGAATGCTGCACAGGATAATAAAACTCCAGAAATGACAGGCTTTTTGAACTCCAGAGTTCTCACCTGATGTCAAGTGCCTGCCAGCCTGCCCGGCATGTGCAGACTCAGAGAAAATGGGCTATTCATCCAGCTTAACGACAGTCACTGATGAGAGAGGAGGCATCTGCTCTGAGTGCAATGGTCAACAGCAGAGGGGAAAATAAGAAGGGGTGAGGTAGTAATGACCAGGGAAGTGATTATTTAAGGAACCACGGGAGCAGCAGCGGCTTGAGAGAGTAGACCTGCACAGATTCAAGGGAGCTACAGAGGGAGGAGAACTCTCCCCTGTGCTCCCATCCTCTTTCCCCTGCAGGGATGAGGAGAATTAGCTCCAAGTAGCTGCTGGGAGCAATCTGCCAGCCTCTCCTTGAAAGGGGGTAAACGCCCTGGCAGCCAACCCCCCCTAGGTGTTAACCTGTCCCCTGCAAGTCAACTTCATCCTGTGGCCGACTCCCAGGAAGCCACCTCTGCAGCATGTTCCCCTCAGCATGCTGCTTTGATGAACCCCCAAAACCTATCGCTCCTCAATCTTCTCTACCGTCCAAGGTCACCTACTCTGGAGCTCAGAGGCACATGCAGGTTTTGCCTCTGCCATCTTCAGAGAGGCAGCAGCGAGCAGGGACAGGCTCTGTCCCCTCTTCAACCTCCCGACTGGGCCCCGCTGCTACTTTCTCCAATGCTTTTTCTCTTGATCTTGCAGGAAAAGCACCCATCCACTTGGGGAACAGGTTGTCCGTCTCCTTTCTTGCAGACATTCTAAATTCTCCTGGTGTTTCTCTGTAGTGCTCCTCCCCTGGCTTCAGAGGGAGATGCCCTCCACCCTCTCCCCACTACTTATGCTAAGGTGGCTCCAGTGGACCTAAGGGGGAGGTTCTTAATGCCTTGTGTTCTCAACTCTGGGCCCTGGCTATCAACTGTGAGAAAACAAGTTCCCATTTAGCAACTAACATTAGGCGGTTACATACGTTTGTGTGCACACATAGATCACAAACGTAGTAACTGCACACACAGAAACCTCCCATTTCCTTTCACTTAATGAAACAACTGTGGCCGTGGAGCTCTGAGGAAATGACAGTGGGGCAAAAGGTGCTGGGGAAGTTTCCTTGTTCTTAAATCCATGCAAATGAACAGATTTTTTTCCTCCTCTTCAGCAGGTGATGTCTGGAGCTTCTGCAGTCATGAAAGGTGGAGGGACTTTTCTGAGGACAGAACTGCTGATATACTGAGAATACAAAGTAGAAAATGACAAGAACAAGTGTACTTGGTCCCTGAAATAACTCAGGGGTTGCTCAATCTTGGTAATGTAAACTGATCATTATTGTTTCAGCCATTCAAAATTGGATTCTTTTGTCCCATAAGGTTGAAATAAGGCATCATCTCAACACAAGTAAATACAAGATGATCTAACTTGTTTTTCTCATTTGGCTGTATGCTAATTTACTTAACCTTTCGCCTCTTGATGGGCACCTAGATTATTCCCAGTCTTGACAAGCAATGCTGTAGGGAACACCCTTATTCCTATCTTTGCATAAATGATCAAGATAAGCTCTAGGATAAAGCCTCAGGAGTCAAACAGCCGAATCAAAGGGCATGTGCTTTTCGATTTCAATGGAAGACACAATTACCCTCCAAAGAGGTCATACCAATTAGACTCTTTCCCCACATCATCACTGTTCTCAAACACATTTCATTTCTACCACACTAAGAGATGAATTCCTTTTGCTATTTTCTTTTGTACTTTAAAAATCATAAGTGAAACTGAAAATCTTTTCATCTGTCTAAAAGCTTCTTGCAATTTTTTAATGACTCTGTGAACCTATAAAGTTCCTTTTTTATAGATACATCAGGAGACATTACAGACGATATTCAAAGAGAGCAATATGGAGCTGATTTACTTCCTACAAGGAAACAAATGATGAAGTATAAAAAAGTGAGGTCAGGTGTATATATTTACCCACTGATGTGACACAACACAAAAGGCCATTAACAAGCCGTTAAAACTGTAAGAGGGGAAAAGTTTTAAACTACTCCAGCAGTGCATTTTGGAAACTGGTCTCAGCTGCAGACTCGCAACAACTGAGGAAAACATACCACGAGGTGAAAGGCGCAGCATTCTCAGGCTGCAAGCTTTCCAGCATAATCTGAACCCCAGCTACAGCCAACAGAGGGTCACAGCAGCTGTATCTCTGTGCCGATAGCCAGGGACACTGCACCACCTCAAGACCATTGTCACAGGACTTCTCCAAGCCCCTTGTTATCCAGGACAAAGTGTTAGTCTTATCATAGAAGACGCTAATGTTTTCTAGAATCTCTTCATGCAATATTTATAAGTGTCTATAAGGGGAGGGGAGCAAAACCAAAACCACCTTACCTCGGGGGCCTAGCAATGCCTTGAAATAGGTACTAAGTGATGCATCAAAATTTTCCATTTTAAAACCTATTAAGAAAAACAGACATTGATTAATCTCTACTCAAAATGCTTTTATACAGTGCTTTTTCATAAAAGAACAAGAACAAATCCTTTTCAAAGAATATGCTACGGACAAGGTTATGCTGAAACTTTTTTTTAATTCCCAAAGTAACTTGTGTGCTAGGTCTAATTTGAAAATCAAAAGGAAAGACAGAATCCCGTGAATTCACTTTATAAATGAAGTGCCAGTTTTCTGAACTTCTTTTCGCAGTTCCATAAAAATGCTTTCTGTGAAGCTGGAATCTCAGTGGGGAGAAGAGTGGAACTGGATGGAAAAAGGTGGCAGACGGGAGAAGATTCCATCTGGGCAAGAACCAAAGCTTGAGGTAAGCCTGTAGCCAAGATAGGAAGAGCCATGTTGGAGAAAGGAAGGCCCCGGTGAATAGATGGTTTCCTCTGCTTGCTATTTTCATTAATTATTATTTAAAAATATTTCATGTCAGTGGTAAAAAAAATATTTAAATATTAAAAATGAAAAGAGGTGCCCCCCCCCCCAAATAATCTCATCACTTCACTCCAACCACAATCCTAAAGCCTCACTGTCAGAAGGAGCCTATGGTAACATTTCTTGGACATACCTCGAGACTTTTCTCTTCTGAGCACAAAAGGGGTCATGCCAACGGGTTTTTTTTTTATAATTGTGGATTTCAACCCATTAATAGATGATTAGGTCAACTTAGCATTAAAAAGTAGTTACAATAATATTAATCAGAGTGCTTTGCCCCTAGTGAGAATGAATATTTTCATAAATCTTTAGTGTTACTGTATCACATAAGTATGATGATATATACCTAAGTACCGTGTGCTGTGCTGAGATATAAAATATATTCTTACTGTGGAGGTTACAGTGAACAAACAAACAGAAAACAATGTTATATCAAGAAGAGTACATATTACTTGCTTTCACTTAATATAGTCTCCTATCAGTAGTTACAGATTTACCTTCATCTTCTAAGATTTTATAGCTCCCCACAACTCCCCCCCTATTTAAGATTTACATTTACAGTATAGCTAAGCATCTTTTCATATGCAATATCAACTAGATTTTCTATATTAAAGTTAGAAGGCATACATTTACTCTTCACAGAAATAACCACAAATATTTTACTTTCCAGGGCAAAGGCAAAATTGGTTTTATTAACTAAGTAAGCTGTTAATCATTTAATGATATTTTTCTTCCTTGGCTTACCACACTGAAGTATTATGTATTCTTTGGCTAATTTCATGGATAAACTTTCCTTCATCCATGGACTAGTTACATCTGTGTCAATCCAGCCGGCAGTGAGACAGAGACAGGTGGAGCCACCAAGAACACTTAGAAGGAAGTAGTTACCAGGGTTCTGTTCTGACATCTGCCCCAGCCCTCCGGGGCGGGGAGTGGAGTGCGCAGGGAAGGTACTGACTCCCTCAACCCATGGCTGGAAACCAGGAAGCCACCAACTTCCACACATCCAAGTGCCAACAATTATACACAATCACAGTACTAGGTCACCTCTGAAATTCTGAAATTAAACAGTTTTTTTTTAACATACTGTACTCCTAAGACCATTCTGGTCCTGATCCATTTTCCTGCCCCAGACTGAACCTCTTCATGGGACAGAAATTCTAGAAAATCTTGAGAATTGGTTAAGCTTTACATTTCCTAAGCAGAATTCCTCTTAAAAAGAATGCCATCCATTTCAGGATGCTTTATCTATTCAAAGTCCTGCAGTTGGGAAATAATTTTATTGTATCTATTTTTTCGTCATCTACCGAAAATCATCTAGAACACATAAGTTTTAGAAGACAAACATGATGTTTTTGTGAAATCGAAATCATTCTAATACAATTTAACTTTATCTGTGAGGGATGGTAGGCCATGTATATGGAGGTCACGGGGTTCCCTTTACCCCCAATCAAAAGCAAACAGGCACCAGGAGGAACAAGGTTGTGAATACCTTGACTA